AACCGGGTTCAATTCCAGCCTTGGGCGACTCTCTGTGTGGAGTTTACACATTCTGTCCATGTCTGCGTGGGTTTCCACCAGGTACTCGGGTTTCCTCTCGCAGTCCAAAGATGTGCAGGTTAGTTGGACTGGCCATGCTAAATTGCTCTGTAATGTCCAGAGACATGCAGGCTACGTGGATTAGCAATGGGCAATGTGGGGTTACAGGGATAGGGTTGAGGGGCTGGGGCTGGGTCTAGGTGTGATGCTCTTTGGAGGATTAGTGCAGACTCAATGGACCAAATGGCCTCTTTCCATACTGTAGGGATTCTGAGATATTAAGGGAGACGACCAAAGCTTAGCAAGCTTTATGCATCACCTTAAAACAGGGATAAGTCGACAGAGAGGTTGAGGGAGGAAATTCCAGAGATTGGATACCAATGTCATAAATTACAGATACAATATTCCACTCTCAACTCCATAAATTCCTGGCCTTCATACCATGTAAACTGTACAGCCAGAGAAACACCACCTTACTCACGTTGTTGCGCACTGCATGCTTTAACACTCAGCTAGGAGATCACAACGATGACTAACTGGTGTTACACTCTTTGAGAACCAGATTCAGTGAGCACTTTGTCGTAGTGTTGAGGCTGTTTTAGCTCTCACTACCCATTTCCCTGGGTTGACGCACATGTGGAACATATTCCAGTCAGAACAAGACCTGTTTTGGTCTCCACCTGGGACTGAAGAAATATTGAACTGTCTGGGCTCTGTTCTGGGAAGTTCACTCAACATAAACTGCACTGGCTCTACACCTATTGACAGTGAAAGATGGCCCACTTTGACCAACACCATTGCTAGGAACATATAGACATCACTGGCACATGATCTGTCTAATCCACGGAAAAAGAAAAGTTGCCTAAATCCTTGACCCGCACAGTTTCCAACACCAACCTCAACACTGAAAAGTATCTGTACACTCCTACTGGCACAGTTCAGTCAAAACATACATAAAATATTCATGTGCATGAGCTCTATTGAGAACTCAGTTTAAAAAAAATATTGCATTGATTTTCACAGTTTTAATAACGATTAATTGTGGGTGTCTTTATTTACAACATGAGCATTTAAAGCTTCAAGATTTTATTTTGGCTGAAGAAAAAATTATAGTGTGTAAAACTCCTTCTCCACCTCTTACCTCAGCATGTCCCTTCCTCTCCTGAAGTTTGTGGCTGTTTTAAGGATTCAGTTCCTTTGGCAGTAGTAATCTTGTACTCCATGTGTGAGCGAATCTCAGTAACCAAGTCTAGGGACCTGTCCGAGTTGACCCTGATCATAAGGTCCCCTATAGTGAGTACTTTTTAGAAGAGCTGATTAGATAATGACTGGGAGTGAGGAGATTCCAGCGGTGGAAATCATCATTGAATTATACTATGGCACACACCCATCCGTGCAGTCATTTCAGCAATGTCCAACTACACCTCTTTCCTGCTGACCTCAAAATGTAAAGATCAGCAGAAGCAATCAGAGCTGAGGGAGTCTGAATCGCATATCATGCTATCCTTCTTTAAATGCAAAAATTAAACTAGTTTTCCCATTTTCGTGCCAATTTGAGCGTGTGCACGCTGGACGCTGAATCCTGCAATCCAAGTTCGAATCTAGGTGAAGCCTCCTTCCTGGTGAAGGGAGTGACGAGCCTTGGAAAGTCTGTCGTTTTTGTCAATACACGACCGAGACTTGAAGTGGGCTAACTTGAACACACGCTCAAAAATTAAACTTTCAAGCTACCTCACTATCATTCATTAGATGCTGCATGATTTAAAAACAAACAATGCATGGATGCTTTTTGATTTTTAATGAGACTTGTACGATGCCAGGAAAATAGATTCAAAGCAACAGAAAATACAGAGCAAACGTGTCTGAAAATGCAAAAGAAATTCCAAGTTTTTTCTGATGAAGGGTCTAGGCCCGAAACGTCAGCCTTCCTGCTCCTATGATGCTGCTTGGTCTGCTGTGTTCATCCAGCTTTACACCTTGTTATCTCAGATTCTCCAGCATCTGCAGTTCCTACTATCTCTGATCCAAGTTTTTTTGTTTTCCTGCATAAAATTTTGTTTCGAACTAGTGAAATTGAAGGAAGTTTGTGGGTATGGTTCTTTAGCTTTTGGAAAAGCCATTACAATCAGTGACGTATTCAGGCACTGGGGTCCATAGATGGGCATAAAATAGCAAGGAGGTTTGGGTATGGTGTGTCAAACTTGCACTCAGCTCTCCTTGATGTATTACAATGCACTTGCTTTACATTTCAGTTAAGTGTATCTAACTGGGGAGTGCATATAAATTGGAAATTCTGCCTCCACTTGCTGATCGTTTGTAATTGAAACCCTTTCCTTTGAGTAGGAGGCTGAAGCTGATAACAGTGCCCCACACCACAGAGACTTGACTGGGACACGCCAATCCGGAAATGAAGCTGAGACCTTCCTGACTCTGCTCACTGAGCCGTATGCATCTTCAAACGATTTCTCCAGCTTTTCCTGAGCAAGGCATCACACTTGTCATTTTGTGGCTTATCTGCAGCGACAAAAAAAACACACACGCACTGTCACACCCTGTTAACCAGGGCAAAAACAGGCATCGTGCACTGCTGCCAAATAACCCATCTTGAGGAGGCAATAATGAATGGTTGCATTTTTTAAATGTGACAATTACAAGAGTACCTGGTTAGAATTTGTGTCATGTCAGACAGATGCGATCTCAAATGCCTTTTAAAATCACAGCTTGCGTGGAAAGGTTTTATTGCATATGAATCACTTCATTGTCTCCCAGCTCTGCTGTAAAGGTCAAGTGAGACACTTCTAGTTTTGCTGCAGGTTTATTTTTGCACTCATTGCTTTGCCCCATCATTTGAAATAGATATATAAAATCATATTTATAATGGGGAGTGATCAATAAACAGACACTTTTTCTCGGCATACATCATGTTTTCCCTCTCCCTGCCTTATGTTGATGAATAAACCTGATCTATGTTATGTAGATAAGGCTAAAATTTAAATTATTTTCATAAACTTCATGTTAATATTTAGAGGAACTGATTGTCTGTGCTTTGGCAGGTGAATCCTGAAAAACTGTTTCCAGTTTTGGAGCTCCAGGCTCATGTCAACCACTTCAGATAATATGGAAGCCAAAAGAACTGTGGATGCTGTAAATCAGAAATTGCTGGAAAAGTGCAGCAGGTCTGGCAGCATCTGTGGAGAGAAATCAGAGTCTGCTTTTGTTCCAGATAGTATGGGTTAGATGCAGGGTAGAGTTCCCTCCACTGCCTCTGTCTCAAGAATGCAACCCCTCCTTCCATTGGACATGGTTGAAGTTTCCACACCAGCCATCACTCTAAGTACATTTTCTTTTGTCGGTTCATGATGGATGACCTCTCATGAAATTAAGGTGACAAATAATTTTGAATAAGATCCTCACGAGCATTAAGGAGAGGAAAGTTTCATCCTTCACAACAGCCACGTTCTAACCAAGTGCTTAAAGTCATAATGGCACAGAAGGAGGCCATTTGACCCATTGAGTTCATGCAAACCCTGAAGGGAAAAGTACAGCATTATGAGATTTGATCTTGAAATTTGACGATCACTCAATCACATGCTCAATTGTGAAGGTTTAAGCCCTGATAAACAAAGGGGGGGATCTGCTCACTGGGACCTAAATAGTGGGCTCTGAAAATTTTTAGTCCTCCATGTACACAGTCTTATTTATGCAAGATCTTGTCCAAAACGTTTAGATGGAATATTCCACATTGAGGAAAAACATTAACCGAATTAGTTTTGCTGGCCAAGGCAGCAGCAATGATATGGAAATAGTTGGCCCAGACTCATTCATACCCTAAACCAAGGAAAACCTCAGAGTTTAGACAGAACTTTGAATAGTCACCAGAGATTCTGAATGAAGCTCATTTCCATTTACACCAGATAAATATTGAGCTGAAAAACACATTTGTTTCTCAATTCTTTCAAAGAGGAGGACTGCAATGTTTTCTTGTGACATCTAAGTGCAGAGAAATTTGCATCAGGCATTAACATTAATAGGCAATATTCCATTGTACTACTGTTATACTGCACATCTCCTGTTCAGTTCCACTGAACTCACGAGCACTGATGTCAGCCCAGGCAACTACCTGTTTAACTTTTCTGCCCAGGCTAAATTTCCAACCCCATTACATCTGCGTGAGATATAGCACACAACTACTCTGAACCATTTCTTCAAATGCTTTCCCTTCTCTGTGCCAAAGTGACCTTTCCATTTCCAACACCTTTTGGCCCAGTTTTGATTTTCAGTGTAGCAGTGTGGGATGTCCAGTATACAGTGATACTTTGTCTGCTGGAAAATGTGCTGGCCCAAAATGGATTTATAATTGATGTCATGTTCTGGACTGGAAGCAAATCCCAAACTGAGAAACAGTGGAACAGTGTTCTTTCTGCCACACCACATAAATCTCCTTCTTCTTTTTAGTTGAGAGTAATTTTGTTACTACCAACACAAAACTTGATCCTTTCACCGAATTTGTCTCCATCTTTCCCTCCTCTCCTGAAGTTGATAACTGGCCTGTTTGACAGATGACACTCTAATTGACCATTATTCACGATGATTGTTTCGGTGAGAGGTTTGAAGGCAATGGTGTTGCTCGCTATTGAAACCCAGGACTGTTGCTATCATGCCCAGTGCAATTCCAGAAGGGAATTCTGGATAGGAATAGAAACTTAAAAAGCCAGCTAGTTTAGCAGAGGCTGAGACACCGGACTCTGGCGTCATTCAAGTAAAGTGCTTCATTACGCCTAGGGTAAATTCAGGGCCGCATCAAGATAACACACAAGATACTGTTGAATGTGATTTGATTTAGCTCATCCATGTTCTGTCATCTGATGTTGTAAATTGACTGAACAGAGGCCTCCAGTCTAAGTGTTGCTGGAGAACTGTTGCCAGTGGTGTGGCTAACTATTTTCTCAATTCTTTTGCAGGTTATAAAGAATACTCTTGATCCTGTCTGGAAGCCTTTCAGTATGCCATTAGTGTCCTTGTGTAATGGAGATGTAGAAAAAACTATAAAGGTAATTGGGTCACTAATGAATGATCTGCTGTAAAAGCAATCCATGACTTCCAGTTCAATATTAAAGGCTCTTTTTGTGGATATTATATAGTTGCCAAGATACAAACATTCTAGGAGAGAACATGTACAATATTGTTTTGATTACATCTAATAACATGCTAGTCAACGTTGCTTCTAGATGCCTCTAGTCAGAACATGTGTATTGCTGTAGATCATTTCCTCTTGCCTGTCAATCAATATGCATTCCTCTCATAACAATCAGTTCAATGTGAGAACATTCACTACCTTTGATTTGCACTTAGGGATAGCAGACAGGAGCCTGTCTCAGATTAATGGTACATATTTCTGCCTCAGTTGGAGGATATGGTGTGAATGAAACAGTTGGCAAAGATGACCACAGCAAGAGAACCATATCTAATCGCCAGTACGGTTGGTATCGGTTCTTCATTTCCTTCCTGGAGGCATCACAGATATCTAATATAAAAGGAAAAATACTAATGCTGCAAATATAGGATTAAAATGCCAGAAATACTCAGCAGACAAGTCAGCATCTGTGGAGAGAAACAGAGTTAACTCATTTTCAAAATTCCTACTGGATCATTTTAAATCAGTTTGTGTATTAATGTTCCTTCCAATCTGTACAACCGCCTGTCCCATTTAAACATCTGTACATGCACAACTCCACAAGAAAAAAAATTTAAAGGGGCTACGCACTTTTAGAATCATGGAACGTTTGCAGCACAGATGGAGGTTACTCGGCCTGTTATGTCTGTGTCAGGTCTCTGTATGAGCTACTTGGGAAATCTCACTCCTTTGGCATCTCCCTGTAATGCTGCAACATTGTTGACATCAGGTAGTTATCCAATCCCATTTCAAAATTCACAACTGAACCTGCCTTCACCATATTCTTAGGCAGTACATTCCAAATCATATCCATGACTAGAGAAATCACACACAAACTTTAAAAGGAACACTGATTAGCTTCTGTGTGAAGTAGTTATGACACTGGCATCCAAATGATGATATAATATTTTGCTCAGGTATTTCTTATCAACAAGAACAGGGATTTTCTAATCTAATTAATGCCCCATTGGTCTTCCCTTCACCCACAGTTGTCACTGGTTGATTGAAAGCATAGTTAGAAGTGCCACACCAACTCATGACTAACTTGTTCACCAATACACTATGTGTAGGTGATGTTGATAAACCTTCTTTCATTGAGGAAATGTGGAGCTCCCCTCCCCCAAAAGCGCTTTGAAACTGGTTGGCAATTGGAAATTTCCAAACCAAGCTTGAGGAGTTTTTATTCGGCGAGCATCTTAAGGGATGTTAAAGCAAGGCAGGAAGACTGAATTAAGAAACAGATCGACCGCAATCTAATTGAGTAGCAGATTGGGCTCAAGGAGATGAATGGCCCACTACTGTTGCTGTGTTCCAATGGTTTAAGAGAGTCACTCAGCTCTCGATCTCACCACAGCCTTGATTCATACATGGATCAGAGCTGAGCTGATCATAGATATAACAACATCAATCACACATGTCTCAGCATCCATTTTCCTCTCTAGCTATCAGCAGAGCATGCCCCAAGCAATCATAATTATTTTAAAATGTGGTTATACAAAAATGAGTCTTCCTAGTCGATTGATCCAACGGCCAGGCTTCTGGAGGATTCAAAATGCACCTGACTAATGAAGCAACACTCACTGCTCAACAACCCCAATGTGGATGGAATCTCAGGGCAGCTCAGGCTCAGACTCTCCATACTAGCCTGGAATAGCACCCTTGCTCCGTCCTGTTCCCGATATTAAAAGGTTTTGTACTTGTTTAGAGAAAGATATTGAGATCTTGCGCATTCAGTGTTGTAATGTAGGAAACAGGGCAGCCAATGTGGACACACCCAACTCACAGAAACATTAATTTCAGAACCATCAAATAATTTTTGTGATGCTAATTGAGTGCTAAATATTGGGTGGAACATCAACTGTAGCTTCTCTGAATTATGCAGTAAGAGGGTAGATGGGATCTCAGTTTCAATAGTTCTAATCAACCTATTCAGGGATGTTATGAAACAGTTCTGGAGCAGGAGGGACTTGAACCTGGGCCTTCTAGCCCAGAAACAGGGGAACTACCAATGTGCCACACAAGCTCGCCAATGTCTCATTTGAACATCTCATGTCCTGCCCTTCCTTCCCACCACCTTTTACTGAAGGATGGAACATTTGGGTAGCACTGCTTCTCATGCGTTGCTTGGGAGACAGGGAAATAAGCACAAATCTTAGAATGCCCTCTCTTGTCCCCTGGGAAATAAGGCAAGTAATAGTAGCCAGATGAAAGGTTTTGATGGAGTGCTTAAAAGAACTGTATCCAGTGTCGGGGAGGGCCAGTAAATGAGAGCTTATAGATTTAATAGAATAGAATTGAGGTGACATAAGGAGAGTTATTGTGATTTGGAATATGCTGTCTGAAAGGCTGGTAGAAAAAGAACTTGCAAAAGGAAATTGGATAAATGTATCAGAGAGTAAAATTTACAGGGCTATGAGGAAGACGGGGGGAAGTAGAATTAATTGGATACTTCTATCAGTTAGCAGAGGCTCAGTGAGCAGAATGGCTGTGTTTTGTGCATTATTCAGTATAAAAATGGATGAAACAATGCAAGGCAAATCACAGACTGTAAAGTGGCTTCCAAAAGCTTTTTCCATTCTTCTCTGCATCAACTACGCAGACTCAACGTTTACTAAACTTTCCATTTTTGTTTTAAATGTAATTTTTAGTTTGTTTAATGGCTTTGCTATTTGCCGAATCCCCACTATAACAATTCTGGGAGTTACCATTCTTCAGAAACTGACCTGGACTCACCATATAAACAAAATGGCTGCAAGAGCAGGCTAGAGGTTAGGAATACTGCAATGAGTAAGTCATCTTCTGATTCCACAAAGACTGTGCAAAATCCTCAAGGCATAAGTCAGGAGTGTAATGGAATATTCCCCACTTGCCTGGATGAATGCAGCTTCAGCAACACACAAGAAGCTTCCCATTCTGGACAAAGCAGCCTGCTTGAATGGCTCCATCACTTTCAACGTTCACTTCCTCAACAGCCTTGTTACACAGTGGCAGCAGTGTGCACCATCTATGAGATGCACTGCAGCAACCAACAAGGCCCATGTGACAGCACCAGCCAAACCTGGGACCTCCACCATCAGTAAGGCAAGAGCAGCAGATATGTGGGAAAACCACCATCAACCTCCCCTCCAAACCACACATCGTCCTGTCTTAGAACTTTATCACCGTTCCTTCACTGTCGCTTGGTCAAGAGCCTGAATCCCTCTTCTTAACAGCATGGTGGGTGTCCCTACTCCGCAAGGACTGTGACAGTTTAAGATGACATTCTGCAGGGCAGTCAAGGATGGGAAAAAATTGCAGGCCTAGCCAACAAGGCCCAAATGTCATGAATGAATCACTCTTTTTAACCTGTATTTGGCCACAGTTCAGGTATTAATATGATATGTTTACCTGTCTCCTATACCAGATTCTCTGTTATGATTATGATAATGATGGTGGACATGATTTTATCGGAGAGAGCCAGACAACAGTTGCCAAGATGTCTGAAGCGAGCAACTCCATGGAGGTATGAATGGCTGGCTAATATGGCACTTTGCTAGTTATCAGCTTTGTGGTAATTTGAGCTGGTTTTGGAATTCTCCATTAGAGTGTTGGGATCCTACGATATTGTTGTGTCGCTCTGCATATTCTGGTACAAGTTCATTTGGTTCCTGGCGGGAAAGCTCGTCAGTCACATCAGTGACATGAAGACTTTCAAGCTTGTACCATCTTGACTTAAAGAAGGCAGTGCTAGATCTGTTCTTGAGAAAGATATGAGCCAAGTGAATCATGTATCGGTAGGAAACTGTCGACGGGGCAGTGATCATTCTATCATTAAGCCAAAGCAGGCTATGGTAAAAGGCAAAGAACAATTTCGAGTAAGAATAATTAATTGGAGGAAAGCCAACTTCAATGGGGTCAGAATAAATCCGGGTTGAATAAATTCAAAGTTCAAATAAATAAATAAGTATAATTTTAAAGATTGACTGAACTCAAGTGAAAGGTTGGCAGGAGAACAATGGACTACCGTCAGAGAAGAGATAATCCAAACACAATGTTTGCTCGAAAGCAGTCAGATAAAGCCAGAGCTCCTTGAATGAGCAATTAAAATAAAGAAGAAATAGTGAGCTTATAAAAGAAGTCGGGAAGAAAATACAATGGAGAGACCCTGACTGAATGCAAAGAGTTCAGAGGGGAAGTGAAAATGCAAATAAGAGAAGCAAAGAGGGAGTATGAAAAGAGATTAGCAGCGAACGTAAATAGAAATCCCAAAGTTTTCCATCAACATATCGACAGTAAAAAAGTGGTAAAAGAAGGAGAGGGGCCAATTAGGAACCAAAAAGGGTATTTGAGCATGTAGGGTACAGAGAAGGCATTAAATGAATACTTTGCATTTGCCAAGAAGGATGATGCTACCCAGGTCATGATGAAGGAGGAGGTAATTCATTAGAAGGAGTTAAAATTGATTAGAAGAACATATGAGTAGTCTGTCTGTGGACAAGGCACCAGGACCAGGGATATGGCATGAAGTGAGTGTTGAAACTGCAGAGACATTGGTCATAATTTTGCAGTGCCAGGGACCTGGGTTCGATTCCACCCTTGTGCAATTGTCTGTATGGAGTGTGCACATTCTCCCTGTGTCTGCATGGGTTTCTGCTGGGTGCTCCAGTTTGCTCCCACAGTCCAAAGATGTGCAAGTCGGGTGGATTGGCCATGCTAAATTGCCTATAGTGTTCAGGGTTGTGCAGATTAGGTGCATTAGCCATGGGAAATGTAGGGTTACAGGGAAAGGGTAGGGGGATGGGTCTGGGTGGGATGCCTTTTGAAGGGTCAGTGTGGACCTGTTGGGCCGAAGGGCGTGTTTCCACACTGTAGGGGTTCTATGGAAAATAATAACGGAAAAACTGCTTTAACTCATGAAAAGTTCAAGAGCCAGAGGGCACAAATTTAAAGTAAAGAGTACAGAAGGAAAATTGACATGAGGAAAATATTTTTCACTCAATGAGTGGTTAAGGTCTGGAATATCCTGCCTGAGTTAGATGCCGGTTCAATGAAGCGTTCAAAAGGGAATTGGATTGTTAATCTGAAAGGACGAATGTGCAGGGGAGAAGGCAGGAGAATAGCACTAGATAACATGTTCATTTGTAGAGCTGACACAGACTTAATGGACCAAATGGCCTCCTTCCGCTTTGTAATGATTCTGTGATAATTTAGATAATACTCATCTGGATGCAAATTAGTCTGCAAAGATAATTTTGAGTTGGAATTCCAGGGGCTATGATGTAGACTAGGAATTTATTTATCAGTTGTGGTACCACAAGGCCCAGATTTGACAGGTCCATAGCCAAATATTGTGACGTGATCTCGTCTATTCTTCCTAATACCATGGTTCTGTTACCATAATCTTTTGTATCTTCTGTATTGGCAACGTCACATGGGAAGACATTTCCCCCATGTGTTATGTGAAACAATACTGAAATCCTTTTTGGAAAGAAGTCAGCTATTTTTTCTCTACGCCTAACTCACACAAATCAAACCTTCTCCATGGCAGCAGCAAATAATCACCAATATATGTGCGTATTTTTCACTAAAACAAGTGACACAGCGCTGTCGAATTCCACACGAGGTTCAAATTGCATAATAAGTAGCTGTCTTGTCTACATTCTTGTCCTCTCTCTCCTGTTGTGTTTCTTTTTATTGGGTTTTCTGACTTTTGTTCCATTTCCAGTTTTCCTTTTGAGATTTGCTTTCTCCCTCCTTATTTAGTCTTCTTACATTCCTTGGTATACATTCTTACAACTGTGGTAAAATCTGAACCTTTTGCTGGTCCAACATCCCACAGCTGGTATCAGGCCCTAAATTGGCCTCCACTGGATTTCAGCTTTATTATCCATTGAGATGAAATCGGTGTTTGAACTACAGAAGGCATGGCAGAAATAGTCTGAGGTATGGGCTGGGAGGAGTTCAAAAGATAACCACATGATCACTGGGGCTTTTTCTCTTTTTAATGTTTTCTTCTATTAAATAATCATGTTTACAGTGGCAGGAGAATATCATGGGGACAGAGATGTCTGATTGGTTGCTATGGAGATGAAACTTCAGCAAGGCCCCTGCCTGAGAAAAGGCCGCGTTTGTGATCCTGATTGATTTCTCAAGCTCAGTATCAATTAGTCATAGGGTCATAGAGCTGTACAGCACAGAAGCAGACCCTTCGGTCCAACTCATCCATGCCAACCAGATATCCTAAATTAATCTAGTCTCGTTTGCCAGCATTTGGCCCATATCCCTCCAAACCCTTTCTATTCATGTACTCATCCAGATGCCTTTTAAATGTTGTAATTGTACCAGCCTCCACCCCTTCCTCTGGCAGCTCATTCCATACACGCACCATCCTTTGCAAGAAAATGTTGCCCCTCAGGTCCTTTAGAAATCTTTCCCCTCTCACCTTAAACCTATGCCCTCTAGGTTTGTACTCTGGGGAAAAGACCTTGGCTATTTACCCTATCCATGCCCCTCATGATTTTATAAGCCTCTATAAGGTCATCCCTCAGCCTTCGACACTTCAAGGAAAATAGCCCCAGCCTATTTAGCCTCTCCCTATTGCTCAAACCCTCCAACCCCTGCAGTATCCTTGTAAATCTTTGCTGCACCCTTTCAAGTTTCGCAACATCTTTCCTACAGCAGGGAGACCAGAATTGAGCGCAGTATTCCAAAAGTGGCCTAACCCAATATTTTGTACAGCTGCAACATGACTTCCCAAATCCTACACTGAAAGGCTTAATTTTTATATGTTTTTGGGATGTAACTGCTGCAAGGTGCCCACTTTAGGTGGCCCCGCATCGAATGTCATCTTGGCAGGGGTAGAACTCCCTTCTTCCCGTTAGGGCCACCAGGGTTGACAGGAGGTACCAGACAAAGGGTGTCCAAAATGTCCCGAGCAGTCGGCAAGACATGAGGAAGTCTCACTGACTGCGAGGGCAGAAGAAGCCTGCAGTGGGCAAAGTGTTCCTGGTCATCGTGCTACCAAAATATGACCACCAACCAACCTGTCAAGATTGTGAACCATGATGGTGCCTGGAGTCACACACAGGGCTTCCGCCAAGACCCACTAGCCAGATCCTGTGGTGATGGAGAATCGATGGTGGGTACAGGGCTGTAAACAAGTGGATTACCCTGTGGTGGAGACCATTTCACAGTATGATACCCGGTTTTTGTTTTTGAAGGCTAAGGGTCCAAATCTGAACATAAAACGTGAAATGTCATGAGGCCGAGTCCCCTCATGATGGTCCTATAGCAGTTGCTCCAATAAGAAGCATTTTTACATGTTAATGGTGGCTTCTTGGACTAAAGCTGAGATACTGCCACTGATAATATTAGGCAAACAAATGTTTTATAGGTTCATATGAAAAACTCTCTTAACTCAGACATTTGCAGAGTTTATATAAATGAACTTACACTTGCATTAAAATAGCAGACAGAAGGTCTTGTGGACTTGAATTGCAAACAGTGATTTCTCAACTCAAAGTGCAGTAGAACTGTAAGAAATTATAAGAAATTGCCACAATGTACATGATTCATCATTAAATTCTCAATCCCGTGCTTTCTCTGAGTTAGAGCATTGCATACAAAAGAAAAATGCCTCCATGCATTAAAAAGCCTGCTCCAGTATGTCGGGAGATGGATTAAGTGTCAAAAATTGTTAGACTGATTTACAGTCTCCCCTTGATAGAGATGCCATGGCACAACGGGTGGGAGTTAATAAAGGATAAAGTGGAGGGGAATCATAATGTGCCACATTCGTATGTTGGCAAAGACAGTAAAGATATCTAATGTTGGTCTCTCACTCACCAAGGCAAACGCAATGTGTGATTGATAACGCAATATGGTCAAAAGGAAAAACCAAAAATTGTTCCTTTTCATGTGGAGAAGAATTTATTCTGTGACCTTAGTGCAAAATGAGGCTGACGTAAGCCGATCCAGTTGCCATGGTAAATTCTAGTTCTCTGAGAAAAGCTCTTTTCAAAGCCCCATTAATTCACCTTCTGAGTTTTTGAGTTATTGAGTATTTTCTGAGTTGAGATCCTGAGCCACAGCATGTCTGATCACAAAGAAATCATAAAAGGCATGTATAAGAATAAACACCCCGAATAGGTGATGTTTTCTTCTTGATTTTGATGGGAGTGATTGTTTGTCAGAGAGCAACCTGTTCCTTCAGCATAATCTTCTGTGTTGCAGCTGCTTTAGTTGTCAACAGAAGCACATTTACTTAAACCATAGCCAGTCATCTCAGTCTCTCTGCTGATCAGCATAAAATATTGTATAGGGCCAAGTGAAGAAAGACTTACATTCACATGGCGACTTTCTCATCCTTTGAAGCGTCGTAGTGTAGGAAATATAGCACAATACGTGCACAGCGGGCTTCCACATCTCTCCATATGGTAACAATCCATCTTCGTGACATTGCTTAAGGGTTAATTAAATACTGGTCAGGATATCTTTGAATTACAAGCCACTGGCAGTATGGCT